GGGAGGGAGGCGAGGACTACGTCATGAAATTCACATTTTCTGCCAAGAAATGATGGCCGCATGGGGGAATGCCTTCGCCGGGTCCAGCTGTGGTAAGTAGAGGATCGAACGCCGATATACCCTCCTCTTCGGCGGGGGGAATGCTTTTTCATTTCATTGGGAAGGGGAGGGATCCGCCCGCCCCAGCCAGGAGGGAGAGATGATGTCAGTGGTTGTATTCGGGAGCTTGCATTTTCATTTTGCCAGTGCTCCCAGGAGAAATCGAGCACACCTGGTGGGAGAGCTTGACCTTGAGCGCGCCAGTTCGGGAGCCGGTCATGGGCCGCATGTGTGGGCAAGGGACCCCGGGAGGAGTGCCATGCACTCGCTGGCCAAGAAGACCTCCTGCCACAATATCGCACGGGGGCGGGGAATGATTGCACTTGCCACCGGCACACCGGCCGGGCTACTTGTGTCGGTATTGTTCCCCCCATCGCTCCCCAACAGGGCCCTGTGACCTTCTCTCTTCCTCACAGCCCCCACGAGGGGCGTTTATTTGTTCTCGCTCTGGGAGAGGACCTTAGGCGGTCCGGGGGAGGGCAGGATGGTCCTCGAACTTTGTCCGAATATCATTATTCTTGCCGTCGTGCATGGGACCCGGGTGGGGGGGAACGCCTTCCCGCCCATGGTGCACCGCAGGAAGAATCCCGGGGGGGGGGGGATCGAAAAATGGACATTGGTCGTGAAGTGCCCCCGAGATCCGCATACCGAAGCCAGGGCACTGGGCATGATGCCGGCTTCACCCAGCTCGAGGATCCGCGCCCCGCCATGCTGCCTGGATAAAATGTGAAAATTATAGCCCGAATAAGCATCTGGGCTATTGCCTTTCGGTGCCGGCCTTGCGGCAGCATGGTGCGGCGACCGCGAGAGCTCCTCCCCACCCCCGCGGTGCTGGTGGTCCGGGAGGCCGCGAGTGTTTATTGATCATTTTTTCCCCCAACACGGCAGGCAATCCTCTCGGGACCTTTTACCTGCCGGTTGCCCGAGCCGCATTGGTCCTGTGCGAGCGGAACCGAGCACATGAAGAAGCACCAGCAATGCCTGAGGTGCTCCTGGCCATGGTGAAAGGAGTGTCCCGGACCGCGACATACCACAGATCGGGGCTGGGGGCGATGGGTGTTGAATGGGCCCCCTTGGCTGCGAACTCGACGATCGGGGGAACCCGGCTGCCAGAAGAGGCCATGGAAGTTCCGGAATGGGGCAAGACAATCCGACGGCTCGTGGGTGCCTTGCGTGTCTCACACCGTCCTTCGGGGTCACCGGCCGGCCCGCTGCCCTGGGCGGCTCTATACGGGAATGGCTAGACCTTAGCCATCCACCCACCCCCAGGGACAAGGAGAGAGGCACAGGCGGCCATCCCCTGCGGGGAGGCCCGACAACGTTCCAACCAATTGACCAACATTCGCTCGATCGTGGACCATAGCTGGGGGG